TGATTACGACCGCCTCAAACTCTCCCTCTCCAAGGCGCTTTCTCTCTGCTACCCACTCGCCGGCAGGCAGAAGGACGACCTCACGGTCGTGTGCAACGACGCCGGCGCCGATTTTTTCGGGGCAAACGTCACCAACTGTGACTTACCCGAGCTCCTCCGGCATCCGAGGCTCGACCTTCTCCGGCAGCTTCTCCCCTGTAATCCGTACCCGTCAGAATTCGACTCCTCCCAGCCCTTGCTTTCCGTTCAGGTCAACAGCTTCCGGCGCGGCGGAACGGCAGTGGCGATATGCCTCTGGCACGGTCTTGCCGATGCGGCTGGGCTTGTAGGGTTCTTAAAGACCTGGTCGCGGTTCAACCATGGAGAAGTCCGCTTGGACGATGCCGCCAACCACGACGACGGCAGTTTCGTCGTCGACGCCACTCCGATTTATTCTCCGGAAAACTTGGCCTTCCCGGGACAGCCGGCACTGGTATCCTCTGAAGTAGCTCAGAGGAGACGGGTCCATAAAACACACATCGGAAAAAGGTTTGTTTTCTCCAAGAAAGAGATCGAACACATAAAAGACGAGTTGCAGATGATCAATATGCCTTCCTTCGAAAGTCGCCGCCCGACTCGGGTGGAGGCGTTGTCCGCTTTCATATGGGCCGCAGTGATCAGGGCGACTCTTCGAGTCACCCCGAACCTGAAGACGCACGTTCTAGTGAACGCGGTGGACGTGCGAAGGAGGATTGACCCACCATTCCCTCCCAACTGCCTGGGAAATATCAATCAAATGGCCATCGCCAAATGGGCGACGGATGCTGGGCGGGGAGCCATTACCGCCCAGGCCGTAATCGGAAGCGTTCGAGAAGCCATAATGAAGGTGAATGACGGGTACGTGAGGAAAAAGGGTGGCAGATATTTGACAGAAATAATGAGGGCCACGAGAGTGAATAATCCTACTGAGAGTAATAAGATAGAAGAAGAAGAAATGAGAATACTTTCCATAAGCACTTGGTTCAAGTTTGAGTGTCTAAAGATTGACTTTGGATGGGGGAAACCTAGGTGGATGGGTCTGGGTATGAGTTTGGCTGATTTGGCTCTCTTTTGGGACGGGGAAGATGAGGGCATTGAAGTTTGGGTTGGGTTGCCCAGACCAATTATGAACCATCTTGACCAAGATCCTGACTTTACTTCACATGTGGCTTTTAGTCAAATTATTTGGGATCCCCAGCTATAAACTTCCCCACATTTAAGTTTTAGGGAGTATCACTATTGGAATTTGTACTGTCTACTTACCTTAATAAATTTTAATGCCCGGCCGTATGAAAGTATGGTAACCCGTCCTATTGGAGTAGAAAAAAGATTGGGGTACAGACAACTCATCTCGCGACAGACAATTTGTCTGTGGGAGACAGACGAGTGTACACTTTTTGTGTACAAAAAGTGTGTACCCGTAGCAGGCCTCATTGGAGTATCACTATCGGATCTTGTACTGCATGTCTACTTTTTTTTTATTAAGTTTTTTCTGAATTAAAATATCTATCTATAAAAATATGTTTGTGTGAACTAAATGTTACTCCATAATTTTATTCCATAGTGGTCTATAATAAGATTCCATGTTTGTTGTTCCATAGACATCTTAGCTTATTGGGAAGGGCAAGGACTACTATATTATAGCTTATAGATTTTAACCTATAATAAAATTAAATCCTCTCTATCGATAATTAAAATCACATATTCAGAAATTACAATAAAATCTCTTCAAAGTTGCAAACTCTAAATTAAAATATAATTAAAAATGGCATCCTAATTAAGCAAATAAAATGAAACTATTTAATTAAGAAAAGTCAAATTTGCAAATCAATTTAGGGTGGAAATAGTATGACTTAATGATTGTACGATTAAGTCACAATTCTCATTAATTTTTTTTAGTAATCCGGCCCAATAAGGTACTACGTAGTACACAGTAAACTATGATATGATGACCAGCTCATTATATGGAGTACGTCAATCTGATATGTAACCAGCTCATTATATGAGTCATACCTTTGTGAATCTATGATGACCATATGTGCAATACTTGGTACTCCCTCCGTCCCGCTATGATTGTCTCGTTTTAACTTTTCGGTCCGTCCCACTAAGATTGTCTCATATCTTATTTGGTAAAGTTTGTGTGGTTCTAAATCATTTCTACTTTATTCTTACTTTATCAATTCAATACCAACCACATAAACCTACTTTTATTAATAACCGTGATACCTTCTCTTGTCCCAAACTTAGGGGGACGGAGGTAGTATGTGCCAACAAAAGTATGAGTATCAATCTTTCCGTTTCACAAATCTCATCTACAATAATTTTAGTTAGATTTTATACCATTTGAATAGTTAAAGCTAGAGATGTTAGATTTGTAGACTCCGTTAGTTTGGTAGTAGAAAAACAGTGGTTGATTTTGCTGAAATTTATGAAGTTCTGACCGAAATAGCTGCATTGACTGATTCTATTGATTCAAGAAAAAATTATTTTTAAAATATATTTTATAAATAAAATAAAGAAAAAATTATATGAAAAAATAGCTAAAACGATCATCTACACTAATTTCAGCCAATAAAGCCAGAAAAGTAACTACAACCTTACTTTGTCTGCTTCCTACACAATTCAGCACGCGAAAACAAAAATTACGTGTTTGATGAAAAAGTTGGCTGATAAGCCTGATAAACCAAAAAATTGTGTTGTCAAAGAGTCTCTTGAAATGCTTAGCTTAGAATTGTTGTAATTGACATTTCCGCCTTCCATCAGCAATATCCCACCGTTCCATCAAAAACTTCTTCACCGTTTTTTCGTGTCTCTCCCCTATTTGTTCATATTCTCCATTCACCTCCTCCCACGCGGACGGATCCGTATTTTTCTATTTCGATTTTCGATTTCCTCCATTCATTAATCACTTATACGATAGTATATGTTTCCTCGATCTCATTCATTCCGATCTCAACCTTCTTCCTCCATTTCTTAAACATATCCGTGTCGTCCATTTTTCATTATATTCCTCAATCGCACCTCTATACCTCTATGCTATTTTCGTAAGCTAACTATGTAAATTGATTTGTTTATACAGATATATTTTTTGAAGATAACATAAAATTTATTAATAGAAGAAATGTTGAATACAATGAGGAATATCAAATAGGCAAGTATGCCAATCAGCTTGAGAACCATCTCCACCCGTACATTTTTCCAAGCTTCATTCTTCATCCAAGATAGGGCATCTTTCACCGCCATAGCTTCAGCCGTATGTGGATCTCCTATACAACGAAGAGGCCCGTTTTTAGTTGCAATAAAATCATTATTAGTAGATAGGATGACTGCCCCATAGAAAGCTTTTCCGGTCTCTGGATAAAACGCAGCATCAACTCTGCAAATTACCGCATTTTGTGCCACATCTGAGAATAGGATTTGAGCGAAGAAAACCAATCATTTAACACCTTTAGCACCATAAAATGAATTTCTGAGCGCAGTCATTCCAAATGAGCTCGTTGCGGGTAGGGCTGAGCAAAACCCGATCCGACCCGAAAAACCCGATATTTTTTCCGAATATTATCCGAACCGAAGTGGATATCCGACCCGAAAAACCCGAAACCGAAAATCCGATCAGTATTGGGTCCAGACCGGGGGGTGGGTAGGGTTTGTGAAATCCCAACCCAACCCACCAGAATATCCAAAATATAGGTTAGTGTGTACTTTGATATTTAAATTAATACTTGTGTTCAATTATTTGTGTAATTATTTGTGCATTTTTTATTAAATTATTTGTGTAAATTGAATGTGTAGTGCACTAATGTGTACAATTTTTTGTCAAAGTGGCATTCTAACATTTTAATTATCCAATTACAATGTGTTTTAATATATCCGAAATATATTAAATTATGTAGTGTGTACTTTGAATATGTTAAATTAATACTTGTGCTCAATTATTTGTGTAATTATTTGTGCAATTTTTGTTATATTATTTGTGGAATTTGGAAGTTTAGTGCACTAGTGTTTACAATTTTTGTCAAAGTGGCATTTAAACACTTTAATTATCCAATTATAATTTTTTTAATATAACCGAAATATCCGAAACCCGACCCGATATCCGATAATATCTGACTTAAAAATATCCGAAATATCCAATTTGAAATATCAAAGGGTTGGGCCTAGTCTTTAAATTAAAAAACTCGAACGGGTTTAGGGTTCGCAAACCCGACCCGCCCGAACCCAACCCATGCACAGCCCTAGTTGCGGGCTTTCCAAACAGTCCATAAGAGTGCTGTAATTTTCTTTTTGTCCTCCTCCAAACCTGAAACAAAAATTCCTGATAACCATGGAAGGAAAGAAGTGTTAAGATGAGGCTGAAGTTTTTTAAATGAGTCTGGCCACATGGTTTGCGTCCACGAATCGAATGGATGCTGCATAGATTCAGGAATTTAGATCAGATTCCAATCCCTTGTTAAATAAATGCAATTTCTTAAATAAAGCCCAATCCACCCTTATGTTTAGAAGCACAAAGGCAATCCCAAGACAACCAATGAACCCCACTGCCAGTCCCAGATTTTGATTGCCACCAAAATTTATTACAAAGCTTTTCAAGTCTTTCACAGAAAGAGATAGGAAGATAGTAGAGGAAGGATTTTCGAGAAAGGATTTTCTTCCCCCACCCACCAATTCTATGTTGAAATTTTGTTTCAATAAAGGAAAGTATCTCCTTTTTGTTTCTTCCCACCCCCACAGGGAAACCAAGATATTTACCGATATTGGGTGCTTGGGGAACATCGAGAGTCGCTGCTATATGATCTCTTGTATTATCGAGGAAAAATGCTAAAGGTACCCCAATTGGTACCCCAATTTGTACCCCACCCTATTTTTGTGGCTCACAAAAGCACCTCATTAAAATGGGGCAATTCATTTATTGAGGTGGGCTTTTGTGAGCCACAAAAATTGGTTGATGTACAAATTGGGGGTACCAATTGGGGGTACCTATAGCAGGGTTGATTATCGAGTGTGTTGCGGCTGAACATAATGCAAGATTTATTAAAGTTGACAGTCTGACCCGACATCATCTCGTATTTGTGGAGGCATCTCGAGATACAAGCCATTTCAGCCCCATCCGCTTTAAAGAACAGCAAGCAATCATCCGCAAAAAATAGATGAGAAATACCCAGTGCATTTCTGGAAATTTTTACATTGGGACCAATGTCCCTGAGAGACTGCTCTGTTGATAATAAAGGCTAGACCTTCAACACAAAGAATGAATAAATAAGGGGATAGAGAGTCCCCTTGTCTAAGTCCTCGTGTAGGAATAATGGTCTCAGTCAATTCTCCGTTCACTAAAACACGATATCGCACAGTAGAAACACAGAGCATGATTAAATCAACAAAGTTCAGATCAAAACTCATAACCACCATCATTTGACGAAGGAAAGCCCACTCCATTTTGTCGTAAGCCTTTGCCATATCGAGCTTAAGAGCACACCAGCCAATGGAACCCTTTTTCTTTCTATTCAAATAGTGGATTACCTCTGAGGCTATGAGATCGAACATTATCTGTTACAGTATAAGTCTATTGGGTTGAAAGGCACTCTGCGTTTCCGTGATGACTGCTTCCAGCAAAGGCTTCAGCCTATTTGCAATCATTTTCGCCACAATTTTGTAAATGATATTACAAAGAGCAATAGGCTGTAAGTTACTTACGAATTCTGGTGTATCCTTCTTTGGAATTAAAGATATGGTAGCATCATTTAATCCAGGTGGGAAATTACGAGAGTGAATCATGTTAAGCACACTTGTTTATACGGACAAAAAAGTAGTCAAAGAGCACAAATAGGACTATATCTTTTACAACCATTCTTGGTGTACACGTTTTTGTACCCATCAGTACACGCATGTGTCTGTGAGAGTTTTTTTTTGTCTGTGAAGTGCGGTCCACAGACAAAAGCTGGTTTGTTTTGTCTGTGAAATTTTCCACAGACAAAACAAGCGAACTTATGTCTGTGGACCGCACTTCATAGACAAAAAAAAACTGTCACAGACACATGCGTGTACTGATGGGTACAAAAACGTGTACAAAAGGAATTTTTGTATCTTTTAAACTCCCCCAGTAGGACTATTTATTGTGTTTGGACAAATATACCCTTGTAGCTTTTGAAATGTCTTAATTAATAATAAAATCATAAAAAAATAAAAAAAGTGTAAGAAAATAATAAAAAAGCGTAAAAAATACTATTTTTAAACATTTAAAAAAATACTAGGAGTAGTAAAATTTTATTAAATATTAATAAAATAAAAATATTTTATAAACACTGCCGCCTCTGCCAGGCGGTGGGGAAGGTATCCTTATTTAATAGGTTTTTACTATTTATTATTAATTTTAAAAAAAAAATCCAAAAAAATATACTCCTTATTTTTTAATTTTTTTAATTTTATAAATTTATTTTTTTAAATTGTTTTGATATTTTTTGTGATTTATTATTACTTTTTAAGATTTTATTATGAATTAAAACATTTCATTATGAATTAATGAAACATTTTTTTAAAAAAATTGTTTTGAATTTTTTTTGATTTATTATTATTTTTTAAGATTGTATTATGAATTAAAACATTTTATTATGGGGTATTAATCTAAAACATTTTTTAGATACCCGGTAGAAATCAATGTTTAGTCCTACTTTGCGGGGTTTAAAATGTAGTAGTCATATTTGTGCATTTTAGGAAATCTTTAGTCCTACCAAGAGCAATTTATATATCAACAAATAATTGAAGTAACGTGCAAGAATTAAAAAATGATAAGAAATACTATCTGTGTATCGTTGATAATCATGAATGAGCAGTGTTCTAAAAGGCGCCGTAAGGCGACACCAAGGCGAGCCTATGCGTGAGGCTCCAATGAAACGCCCCGCATTGGTAATAGGCGTGTCAAAAGGCGAAAATTTTACTAAAACCTCCATATTTGACCCGCACAAGGCGTTTTCAAACCCCGAAGGCTTCTTATGCCAATATAATGCGTGGATGGAGCAATTTATAAGCGTGTACGAAGATGAACTCTTCTTTTCCCACCGGTGTGGGAAAGCTGTAAAGCATTTACAGAGTACAAAACTTTTCTTTCCCCAATCCCCTTCTACGCCAATACACGACTCCACAACCTCCATTACTCCTTGTCAATTACTTCGTATTATTATATTACTTGTAATATTACTATATACGGAGTATTAATTATACTCCATTATATTATGGCTATTATTATTATATTATAATTATTATTATTATTATTATTATTGTTATTATTATCATTATTATATTCTATTATCATCATCATCATCATCAACGATATCAATCTTATTGGACCTTTATCATGTTTATTAATTAGAGGTTTATCTCAAGTATTGTTACGTACTATAATTAAATTAATGAATAATAAATCTGACTAATTAATGACAGTAAGTATATTTTCATAGTCACTGTAATAGGTAATGTTAAAACATAATCATAGTTACTAAAAGATAACAAGTCATATTTTTGTCTAATATACTTATTGTGATCATATATTACATGGTATTTCGTTTTAGTAATATTATATTATTATTCAACGAGTTTTGCCTGTTCAGGTTTTTTTGTAACTGGTAAATATATTTGCTAGATCTAGGGCTCATCAAATCTTTTTAGTTGAGATTTTGTATAGTATGATGTTCTTGAATAAATTATTTAATATTGAATTTAGGTATTTAAGATTAGCTCTAGAAAATTAAAATAAAGGATAAAAAATCAAAACGCCTTTTCACGCCTTCTTCCCGCCTAAGCACGCCTAGGCTTCAAAGGCTTAAGACTTGTATGTGCCGCCTCGGCGCGCCTCACGCCTTTTAGAACATTGTGAATGAGTACGTCTGGGGGATAACTGAAGAAGTGTGTGTCTCAAGTATTAGTGAGTGAAAATGTTTGTTCGCTTACATTGGATGCTAATGATATTTAAAACAATAGAAATAGAATCATCCTGTCTATTTCGTCACATCCGACTTGTCCGGCGGAAAAGTAGGAGCAGAACAGCCTGACACTCCTCTTCCATGATAGTATCTCTATCCCCTAACTTTGTCCCATTTATTTTACCTTTTTCGTCGTTCTCATTAATTTAGGTGATTACAATTCATTCTTACTTTATTCACATTTCATCAATTCAATATCAACTACACAATTCCATTTTTTCTTAGAAATTGTGACACCCTCTTGTCACAAACAAAGTGGGACAGAGGCAGTATTATCTTGCAACTCTAAATTAATATAGTCAATAAATGCTAATAATGGCATGTATATGTTACGTCTTGGCCTGGTCGTTCCGTCATTGTCCGACGGTTTGGTCCGACGGTTTTAGGCACGTTATAAAGACTCATCAGCTCTAATTAACTTCTTCCTTAATTACATTAATGATCATATTAATACATAAAAAGGCCCTAATAGCAAAAATTATGTCTTATAAATAAATGTATCATTAATTTTTATGATCAATTCTTATAAATGTAGAATCAAACTGTCAAATATTTGGTCAAACAATCTCACCTACATTCGTATCTGGATTATGCATTTTATCCATCCATTATATCCTGTCAAAATATTTAACTTTTTGATCTTTAATGTACTTGCTCTGAATTTCCATAATTTAAGGCTTCTGAATACAATACCTAAGCGTGTCTAGCTTCTGGTCAACTTTCAACTACTTACATTATATTCACCGCCAGCTATTCAATTTGAATATTTGATATACTCTCTCGTTGTCTCATTTAAATCCTTACTCCTCTTCACTATCCACTCACTTTTACATTTGAGTGGATAACATTAATTACCCCAAAAAGTGAAAGGATATGAATGACATTTGTTCTTCATTGATTTCCTAAAACACCGTGTCAAATTAAAAGAAAACGTCAAGATTCAACCGGGACGAAGGAGACTTTTTTTTTTAGGGAGGGGACGAAGGAGACTGGAGAGTACTAAAGTTTTGAGCCAAATTTTAAATCTTGTTGCGACAGCGGATTAAAGGTGTAATTGATTTTATCGTTAACATGTTGTTCATATTCCTGCTGAATATCATTATACGTTTATTATGCATTCAAAGTTGGAATGATTTTAGTATCCAATCATTCGAATTTCACATTCAGATTCCAAATGACAGCAAATATCACTTTGTTTTATTAACATCATCTTGATCATGTATATCGAGTCCAAACAATATATATTCAGTTTCAGATTTAATTTTCAGTTTTCTTTTTCAATTAATTCTTCTAGAGCTTCCAACAGCACATGGCTTCCGGATTCATCCAAGTTTGCTTTTTTTTTTTTTTTTATGGACAAGTTTGCTTTTACTTCTTCACCGCTTTTGCTTTCATCGTCTAGACATATGACAGGAAATGAGAATAGAACTTCTCAATTTTTAATTTTGCTTACTTTATTTTTAACAAGTCATCGATTAACAATTATTTCTGTTTCTTAATCATAAATTTAGACCACGACTCAATATTAATTCTCAATAATTATTCCTCATATCTAAGCAATTATATTTCACTCTGTTCGGTATGTTCATTCAACACATAGATTAAACGGCTTTAAATATAAATATCATTTAATTTAAACAGACATTTTAATATAGATAGTCATCTCAATCTAGATAAGACTTAATTAAAAAGTAGGTAGTTACAAAGTGATTATACCTCTATAGGGTTACCATATTATCATATGGCGAGGCATTAAAAATTCAAGTATGCCTCATGTAGATTCCATTTTACACACCGATCAACTTATTTGTGCATGAGTAATGTTTTTTTATTTTGTAAAGAGGATCGTGTGTCCCACTGACAAAATTTTTTGTTTGTGTCAAAGACAAATAAAATTGTTAGTGCGAAACATGACTCTCTTTACAAAATGAAAAAAAAAAATGATTATGCACAAACAATTTGCCGAGCGTGTACACTTGGCATATAAAAACATTTCTTTAAAATTTTAGGATATACTTCCTCCGTTCTTTTTTAATTGCCACGGTCAACATTTTACATTTGTCAACGCACGTCTTTGACCGTAATTATATCTTAATCTCTATTAATAAAAAAGTATTAAAAATCATATTTTAAAAATTTGTAATGAGATTAATTGAAAAATATTTTTAAAAAAAATAATTTTCATAAAATAATAACTTAAAATGTAGTCAAAGTAGAGCATGTGAATAGTGTAAAATTAAACATGTTGCAATTAAAAAAAATCGGAGGATAGTAGTTGTTCAAAGCATGAATGTATGGAAGGAAGTTTATGCCTAATCAAAGAATGGACACTACAAAAAAACAACGATTTTGGAACGGATTTTGCACGGAACTTTGGCACGGATATGCCAAAATTTGTAGGGTATTTGGCACGGATTTGGCACGGATGCGTTAAATCCGTGCCAAATTCCGTGCCAAAGTCGTTTTGTCACCAGCTATTTGGCACGGCGCTGTGCCAAAATTAAGTTACAGTCCGTGCCAAACTCGCCCAATCCGTGCCAAGTCCGTGCCTATTTCAATGTTTTTTTGTAGTGGGAAGGACTTTCGGGTTATGATGACTCTAACAGAAGGAAATTGCTAAGGAATGAGGCATATGTAAATATGTAATGAGGTTGATTTCCTCAATTATAATATAGACGTACGATTTGCTTCATAAAAAAAATTGAAAATAACGTCATTGTTGTACGTGAAATGAAGAGGATGAAGACTAGATTTAAAAGATAGATTTATTATTAATAAGCTCTAAATTATACTTCTTCTTAATATCAAGATTTCTGAATGAATTTACAAGGTTTCATCAAGCTCCTATTTATAGTGTTTGAGCTTGATGATTAGTCACCTAAATGACGAGTCTACAGAATTGGTGACAATAACAAATTGAGCCACCTGTTCTAACTAGGTTGCAAGGATGATGAATAGCTTGGTGTCCTAATAACAAGGATGAGCGATTCACACATGTCAATTTGATGGTTTTACAACACTCCCACTTGAATGTTCATCCTTGAATATGTATTTGTTATTTTAAAAACTTATTGTGAAAAATTATTGTTAAATCAAAGGGGTAAAAATTACGACTTATAATGTCGTTGTATTCGGATGTACTGTCTCGTTGAAAACCTTATCAGGAAAAACTCAGTGGGATAAAAACCTGATGAAGGAAAAAAGAGTACGTGCAGTGCATTCAAATACTCCCCCTGAATTTAGCATAAATTATGAAGGTGGCGCATGCCGACTTTCTATACAAGTTCTATGAACTTCTTCGGGGGTAATGATTTGGTGAGGAGATCAGCCGGATTTTCACTGGATCTGATTTGTTGAATGTTGATTGTCCCTTCTTTTTCCAGATCATGAGTAGAGAAGAATTTGGGTGATATGTGTTTCGTTCTGTCTCTTTTGATTTAGCCTTCTTTAATTTGAGCTATACATGCGGTGTTGTCTTCATAGATCATAGTAGCTTGATAGGTAAGAGATTTTATACCGCATTCATTTTGGATGTGTTGAATCATAGATCGCAGCCACACACATTCTCTTCCAGTTTCATATAGTGAAATTAACTCCGGTTTGTGATTTCGCCTTTTGAGGATATCCGATTAAAGCGGCTTTTGCATGTTTGTCGTAGAATAGTCCGAGATCAACTGTACCATGGAGATACCAAAATATGTGCTTGATCCCGTTCCAATGACGCCTTGTTGGACATGAGCTATACCTAGCTAATAAATTTACAGAAAATGCAATATCGGATCTAGTATTATTAGCTAAATACATTAATGCTCCAATAGCACTTAGATATGGGACTTCAGAACCGAGTATTTCTTCATTGTCTTCTCGGGGACGAAATGGATCGTTGTTTATGTTGAGAGATCGAACCACCATTGGCGAAGTCAAAGGATGAGCTTTGTCCATATAGAACCTCTTTAAAACTTTCTCGGTGTAATGGGATTAATGTATAAAAATTCCATT